ATACAGTTTGATTGGAGCAGAATTAGGGAATGCACACATAGCCAGTGTTGCCGTTTTAGCCCTTTGGCGGCTAGATTTAGCAACCACATTCTTTTTTTGGCCACATAAATTTAAAATTGCCCCTAGCCCTTTTTTTAGCCCTTTGGAGAATTTATTCATACTGGGCATGAAAAAGTTGTATATGCTTAATTTGATCTATTTTTTTTCGCATATACATATGTAAGAGATGAATTTTAAAACTAAGAAAGACTGACATAGTATATGTATTGTATATTCCTTACGTTTTTATACATACATACTGTATAAGTGTTAGGGCTGTTTTTTAACTTATCTATTAACGATTTAACTATAGTTTAAAATAGATAACTTTACCGCCCTTAGGGCCTGTTTAAACTCAGATTAAGTAAACTGGGTTTGAATTGAACATCTGGCTGACACTTGAATGGCTGATCTTAGTTTAAACCAGCCAGATCGGGCGTTTACACTTAGTTTGAACCACGGCCGTGCACTGGCCCCTAATATGCTTCATTAGTTAAATGGCCCATCAGGTCGATTGACCGTGTATGTTCTTGTGGTGTGATTGTACCAGCTGCTGGTGCGACTTCAAAAACTATTTGAAAATTTTATGATTGTAACAGCGTGCTGGTGTCGTGAGTGGTGAAATTAGCTAAATTTTCAAAGTAAAATATATTTTGGCGGAAATTTCAAAGCCGTATTTGTGGAATATTAAGTTCACGATATTGCAGTTCTGAATTAAAAAAAAAAACAATGTTTAACAAAATGGTAGAAAAATTATGAAATTTCGGCTCAAATCATTTCGATCTTTCCTCGACCTCATTTGTAAGGAAATAAATATTGTACCAGCATGCTGGTAAGTTATATGAAGGGAACGGAATTTATGGAAATTGCCTTTTTTCTGCTAAATAGATAGAGTTATTCGATTAAGAATGTCCACGATTTAGCTTTCCCTGATTCCATATATACACATTTGATGCCTTTTCTTGCCTTTTTTAAGATATTTGCCCTTTTTTGCCTTATTTAAGATATTTGCCTTTTTTGCGTTTTCTACCTTTAAAAAAGTGATTGTAGCATTTACAATTTTTTTTTAGATTAAAAAATATGCACATGCCCATGCGGCTTATAGGAGCGCAGGGACCTCTAGCCAAATTGGTTTTGGAAAAATTCAAAGCCGTTTTCTCAGCTAACGTAGGCTTGGAGACAATAAGGGGTGTAGATAAAATTGTAAAAGGCGAGGAAAACGCCCTTATTCCTGATAATATGAACGTTTCAAACGTTCCATATTTAAATTGGGCTCCACTTGTATCAACTTACGTCGAGCGCACATTAAGTACATTCAAGGCTCTTCTTCGCGAAAATCGAATGAAAATGCTGCCAGAAAACTTCAAAATGCTATGTTACTACAACTATACAGATTAAAATTTTATGAGTTAGAAACTCGAAAGGATAAAATAGTCAAAGATTCAAAGTACAAATTTTTCATATAATGAAACTACTTCATAGTTTTTCTCTTTTTACTTGTAATATAAACATTTCTAAAATAAATGTATTTTTTGATTGTTCTTCGTATTTTCTGTCTTGTTAGTGCCTTATTTTGCTTTTTTTGCAATACCTAGTGCCTTTTCCTGCCTTTTTCGCTATTTTGTTTTGCCTTTTTTTGCCTTTTTTGCAATACCTAGTGCCTTTTCCTGCCTTTTTCGCTATTTTATTTTGCCTTTTCCAGCCTATTTCGTTATTTTATTTTGCCTTTTTTATAGGTTTTTAGGTCCTAAAAATCCGTTCCCTGGTTATATGCTTCGAGCCTGATGGTACAATCACTTGATCGATCCAGCAAGCTGGTGTCATATATTTCCCCTTTTTTACGAAAAGGTTTTTGGTGTGTATATATGATTATGTAAGTAAAAAATTTTACCTACCATTTTTAGCCACAACGACTTTTTTTAGCTCTTTTTTAGCCCTTTTTTTAAAGGAATTTGGCTACCACTAAAAATGCATCGCGGCAACACTGCACATAGCAGAGTGTTTCAGTCATCTGGACGCTCATTCAGAATGGTATATCATTTACTTTAGCATTCTTTATTTTTCATTCCATTCATGTAGTCACCACCTTGCTGTGTGTAATCAGTTTTTTTAATGATTGTAGATTGAAACAAGTAAAAAAGTCTAAGTTCGGGCGGAGCCGAACATTAAATACCCGGCACAAGTATTAAATATATGTTTTTTAACCTTTCCGAAACCTACCGCTAGATGGTAAGCCGGGGTGTATCAATTTTGTGTAAATTAGCGTCCTTAAATTTCGAAATATTGAAGTTTCAAGCATTTCTAAAATTAACCGTTATATGAAAAGCTGTAATTTCAGTCATTTCAATAATTTTGAACGTTTTGCTTTTATGTGGCAAGCACAATAACAATAGCGAGTTCGGTAAAAATTGGTAGAACGGTTACCGAGATACATATACAGTGACGAGCAAAACTGTAACATGGTTTAACACTTTTTGTTTCAGCCACCGCTATATTTCTAAGTTATAACGACTTTCATCCTTTTGTTGAATATTCTTGTTGGTACATCCCTACTCCCTCTCTCATAATGATTTGAAGTCAATAAAACAACAATAAAAAAACCAGCAGACCAAAATGTAAATTAAGGCAGATGTTACAGTTTTGCACTCACTCTCAGTTTTGCATTTGACAGTTATCTTTTACTTAGTTGGAAGTCAGATGACTTTTTTCTATATTGTAATTTATTGAAGAAGTGATCACCAGTAAATAACATAGTTAATCAGGAACCATAAATGTAAATAATAGATTTACTGCGGAAAGGCGGAACCGCACGAAAAGTGGCAAAAATTTTGGAATTTGCTATTTAAAAATGTTAAGATTAAGACTTAGAAAAAATATAGCCTAAAGTGCTCCCAAGGACAGAGGAAGTCTGTTAAAAAATATTACGGTACGATATCTTGTGAACTTAGAAGCAAGTAGCGATGCAGCCACTATTACAGAAGCGCTTAAGGTATTCAACTTTAATGCAAATCAATAGACAGCGAGGCGAAGAATTGCCAAATTGAGCGCAAAGGCATCATAAAGAAGAAAAAAGCAAATTTGATCATAATACATGTGCGAGTGTGGCAGCATTTCGCAGCATCGCACGAAAACCGAACCGTTGCCTATTGGGATATGTTAGGCCGTTCAGAATGCAATAAAAAACATATTTTTAAGTTTCAATTGAAGGTTATTTGGTCTGACAAGACTAAATTAATCGCTTTCAATCAGATGGCCGGGCATGGTATTGGATCAAAGACCCAAATTAAGCCTCAGCGCATCATGTACGGCAAACTGTGAATCACAGTGGTAGGATCTTAATTGTTTGGGGTTGTATTTCAAAAATTTTGTTGGTCTGTTAGTACGCATTATGCGTAAGGAACAGTATCTGTTCATATTTCAACAAAATTTGCAAGATGTAGTCGAAAAATTAGAGTTCTGAAAAAATTTGCTAATTTGAAATGACCTCCACAAACCGCGGACATGAATCTCATCGAGAATTTGCGAAATCAACTAAAAGCACAGCTAATAAGTATCAAAGTCCGTAAAATCGAGTACATGAGCTGTGAAAGCAATCTAAGGATATACCTCCAGAATTTTTACAAAGATACAAATAAGGTATGCCAAATCACATCCAGGAACTGAAACAGGCAAAAGAGTACTGAACATTGTGTTAGTAGTTCTTTTTTTTCGTGAAAATTGTTAAAAAGCTCTTAAAAATATATGAGTGCAAAACTGTAACATCTGCCTTAATTTACATTTTTGTCTGCTGTTTTTTTTATTGTTGTTGTATTGACTTCAAATCATTATGAGAGAGGGAGTAGGGATGTACCAACAAGAATATACAGCAAAAGTATGAAAGTCGTTAGAACTTGGAAATATAGTGGTGGCTGAAACAAAAAGTGTTAAACCATGTTACAGTTTTGCTCGTCACTGTATGTATGCGATCATAAATGGGCGGAGCCACGCCCATTTTGTCAGAAATTTTATCATAAACCGTACTTCATGGTAAGGAATTGTTGCAAGGGCTAATTTTGAATAAATCAGCTTTAATATTTACTGATTTCGTATTTCTCTAAATTACCCTTATATGGAATGTGGGCGTGGTTATTGTCCGATTTTAAAAATTTTCGGCCATTTGGTATGCTGTAGCAAGGCCAACAACCGTGCCAAGTTTGGAAGAAATTGGTGCAGCGGTTACTAAGATATACACATGTAACCATAAGTGGGCGTGGCTACGCCCACTTTTTCAAAAACTTATAACATTCTTATTTTGCGTCTTAAAACTATTGCAAATACTAATTTTGAGTGAGTAATCTCAAGTAGTTACTAAAATATCGCAGTTTTCGTATTTCTGAAAATTACGGTTATATGGGAGGTAGGCGTGGTTATTGTCCGATTTTGGCCATTTTCAGTACCATCTGTCCTACGCCCAAGCAAGTACACGTACCAAGTTTCGTTAAGATATCTTAATTTTTACTCGAGTTATCGTGTGCACAGACGGACGGACAGACGGACGGACAGACAGTCACCGCTTAATCTATTTCTCTTTTCCTCCTGATCATTTATGTATACATTTGTCTATATCTATCTCGATTCGTTTTGTCTGTTACAAACAACCGTTATGTGATCAAAGTTATAATAACCTGTGCACAAGTGCGCTCGGGTATAAAAATATAAGCCCCACTATCCAACAAAAGGAAAAATAATGAAACCTTGCATGTAAATATTTCATGATGTAAAATTGTAAATGATTTCACAGTTACATATACAGCTCCGGAATTGAATATAAGTGAGTTTCAAACAATTTTACTTTTGAATCGGATTGAAAAGAAGTTTCCCTTTGTCTAAAATTATTTCAGCTTACAAGTACATTTTTGCATGCTAACCTGAGCACTTATCTGCTATTATACCTATAAAATAATTAAAACTACCTGACTTACTTGCAAATCTGGGGTCATTAGTTGTAGATCCATACCAAGTGGCTGAACCTCTCATATCTGAATAGTGTCCAGCCAGAGAGAGATTATCTGCTGGGCCGCAATAACCTTGGACCCCAGGGCTATGATAAAGTGAAGTCATTGCGTACGGATTAGCCATGGTTGCCGATCCTAAGGTACTGGGCGAGGTCACACTACTTCCGCTGGAATTCGTTCTGAAACCGAATATATAAACAAACTGTAAGTATTGGGCACGTGTGTGTGTATAGATCTAATATATTACTTTCATTGATTTTAGTTAATTCCCATTTGTGGTTGTTGTTGCATAGTTTTCGAGGAATTTTCACCATTGTGCCAAATTAACTTTGTATAGATTATTTTGAACAAATAATAGCAATTTCAGATATAGCAGATAAAAATCAACATATATACTACTTTAATTGATTTAAGCTCATTCCCATTTGTGGTTGTTTTATTTATTTATTTTATTTCTAACACGAGAACCCGGTGGTTTTACCATCAAGATGTTAGGATATAATTTAATAAATTTAGCTAGGATTTTATTTAATATGTTTAGCTAGTTACTTACTTACTATTTGAAATTGAAGATATCTTCAGATGGAAATGGTTTGGTTATTTTTACAATCCATGCACTGAAATTAAAATTTCATAAAAGTGTTACGAAAAACTTTCATACACCCCGCGACCAATGACATCACTACTTTTACCAGTTTTTACTGCTTTTTTTTTGATTTTTTTGAGTTTCATTATTTTTGTATAAAAGTATACCTCTTCATCTAACAAATACATACTCAGACTTTGTACAAAAATTATTAAAATTCCACAAACTTTCCATCCCAATTCCAAGCATTTTAATTTTAATTGGTAGAAGAATTTTTGGTATGCAGTTTTATAGCTTATTAAATTCTAGCATAACGAAGTGCAAGTTCTAAGTTGCTTAAAAATGCACCCTTTTCCATACAAAAAAGTGTTTTGTATTGAAGAAATGTGTGATACCATCAGAAATTATCAAAAAGCAACGCGATTTTTTAGAAACTTAAAACTTGCACTTCATTATATTAGAACTTAATAAACTATAAAGCTGCATACCAAAAATTATTATACAAATTAAAATTAAAATGCTTGGAACTGGGCTGAAAAGTTTGTCGAATTTTTATAATTTTTGTAGAAAGTCTGAAATTTAGATTTATTTTAAATAAAGAGCTACTTTTATACAAAAATAATGAAGCTTGAAAAAGGCAAAAGAAAAGTAGTCAAAACTGGTAAAAACATTGATGTGCTATCGTTTGTGGAGGGGTAGTCTTGGATTTTTGACAACGAAACAAGATTTTACGAACCATTCGTAAATATAACGTAGGAACTTTTGTAAGGCATTTTTTAAGTCAATTTACGAAACCTTACCTTTATTTTACGAAACACATTCGTAAATTACTGAACAAATCTCTGTACGAATAATTTTGGATAGTTCTAAAATTTACGAAATCTGCAATTCTATATTCGTACAATTTACAAAATATTTTCGTACATAGTACTAAAGCAGAAACATGTTTTTTAAATTGGTACAACATACGAATTTCGTACAATATACTAAATTACTGGAAGTTTAATATTTCATCATATTTTTATGTACCGCGTGTCATTGTGAAATTATTGATTGGCGGCTGTGAGACGTATAATGTAATTTTAAACGTTTTAAAAAGGGATGCTGGATAAAAATACAATACAAAATTAAATATTAAACCTGTGGATATATGCTTTTAAGCATACAATAGGGGTATTCTCGAAGTCTTGCACGATGCACGGATTGCACGAAATGAAAAAATTTTATTCCAAATTTGGAAGAGTACGAGAGCACCCCATTGCAAAGTGGTAGCATATATAGGTAGCAAGCAGCGAAATTCTGTACCAAGTACAATACAAGAGACAGCATAAAAAAATTAAGTGAGCTGGATGAGAGGAATGAAAGAAATATGTAGCAATTCCAACAACAAAGCAACTAGCACAGGGTCGCATTTATTTTTCTATGCTTCTTTGCAAAATACAGTGAAACCTCTCCTAACGGACACCTCTATTGGACGGACACCTCCCTTGGGCGGACATTATTTCCTATACCAAGTTTTAAGTATAAATTTCAGAACAAATCACTCTCTCTTAAGCGGACATTCTCTTGGCCGGACGCGGACAGTTACTTTTCATAAAATTTGCACAAACCCCTCTATTGAGCGGACGCGAACGTCTTATCAACGGACATGATGATTTCTTTTCATAACAAATCAAACAAAAACCTCTGTTGGGCGGATGCGAACTCCTCATAGGCGGACAAAATATAAAAAATATTAGTGAGCAGTTACTTACATACATACTTGCTAAATGGAAAAAGCGGACTCCCGGATAAAATGTGATATTTTTTCATACACACAAGTAGTTTGGTTTGCGCAGTGATTTGTGTTTAGTTGTAGCGGATATACGTAATACGATGGGGAGATCAAACCTTAGTGTGAAGGAGAAAATTGAAATTATTAACGCATATCAGGAAAATAATTTGTCTGTCAGGGCATTAGCCAGTAGGTAAGTTTTACTTATCAAATCTCAGAAACATAATTTTTTCAGATAAAAAGTCGTTTATTCAATACATTTTGTAAAATGTCATCACTGAGTCTCTGTATGAAATTTTAAAAGAAATAAGTCCAATTTTCCTTATTAGGTTTAACATTGGAAAAACAGAGGCTGTGCTTATCGTGAAAAATAAAGATATTATTCGGACAAAATGGATGGGTGGGGACAATGTCGAAACAAAAAGGTCATTTAAGAATGTAGATGTTAAAAAAATTGATTAAACGTGTTTTGACTGGTTTCGCAAAGTCAGAAACCAAAATATTCCCATATCTGGGCCAGTAATACAGGAAAAGGCAAAATAAATCGCCGAAAAACTTGGCGTAAACGATTTTGCAGCTTCTTAGAGTAACTGCAGTGGAGAACACGTGCACCGAAGTTCTTACTCTTCGCAGTGAATTGATCGTTGTCCAGACTCACATCTGTGCTCTAGAAAGTAGTGCAGTTTCCACAGATGTAATAATCAACGGGATCCCACAAACGTGAGGCTTTTCGCATACAAAGTGCAAAAGACAACAAGCAAAAAATCAGCAACATTTGCCCTCTTGTTAAGCTGCTCTCTGCGCATGACCGCATCGATATCTTAAAATCTATTGCTATTTTCTGCAAGTCAAAAAAGAGATCGCTAGCGCTCTCTGACGTTGATATGCCGGGCTATGGATTGATTTATTTGCATAAGAGTCTGCCAAAAATGCTGCGTGACGTGATGGCATATGCCTCTGAACTTAGACGGAAGAAACTATTGCTGTCAGCGTTCTCCATTCGTGGGAAAATTTTTGTGCGACTTAAGTCAAACGAACAGCCTAAGCAAGTGAGCAGCAGATCCGAGATTAATTCTCTTACCAGCACTGAAACGCAATAGCAACTACATATACACATAAACCGTGTGTTAGGCTTAGATTTTTACTTTATGTTTTTTCCAACTTGTGCAAGCTCAGAAATTAAGTCAGTTATGTTATGTATTTTCTCTTTCATTTCGAGCCTAGTTCCCTTCATTTATTATTTGTTTACTATTTTCTTTGTGAATTTCACACAATTTCTCTTACTCTCCGCCCATGAATGTTTTTGTAACTTTCGGCTATTTTCCTATTATGCTATATTCTTTTCTACTTTGATTTATTTCAATCACATGCATTTATGTTTTTATATGTTAAATGCACTTTGTAGTTGCTCTTTCTCTAGCTCAGTATGTTTGGAATAAACCCCGCTAGGAATTCTGCTTCCAGCATTGAGGAGCCCCATAAGACTTTAATTAATATTATGTGTAAACAGGCGAGTGGCCTTAATGTGGTGCATTTTAACGCGCGAAGCCTTAGCAGGGATAAACTGGACTATGTTAGGAATATTTTTGTGGAGTCTGGCGTTGATGTTATCTGCGTCTCAGAATAATGGTTCAATCCTAATATTTCGGACTTGTAGTATCACATCCCTAACTATAATCTTGTGCGGTGCGATCGAATAACTAAGAAAGGGGGAGGTGTTGCAATTTATTGCAGATCTACTCTAAAAATTAGGCTTTTAGCAGTATCGCATAACTCTGATACTGAATTCATTATTGTTGAACTTTCGGACGGTGTGACAAAGATACTAGTGTCTTGCGGGTATAACCCCCATAGGTGTTGCGTGTTAGATTCGTTTTTTGTTGAGTTATCTATGTTTTTGAATGAATATGACCGTTATGTTATATGTGGTGATTTCAATGTTAATCTCCTCTTTAATGACTCTTATGCAACTAAGCTACTTGACCATGTATCTGCTGCAGGTCTTGAGGTAGTCAATAAACTCGTACCAACAAGATATACCAACAATTCGCATCCTAGCCTAGTAGATCTTGTTATCACCTCTAGTCTACACCATGTTCTTAAATTCGACCAAATGTTTTTTATTTCTGACCATGACCTAATTTTCTGTTCATTAGATGTTGCGTTTATTAGCACTGTTGAAAGTGTTACTTTTATGTATCGTGATTTGAAATCTGTAAATGTTAGTGATCTGTTTACTAGTCTGTCAAATGTTAACTTGGATGACTGTTTTGGTACGTTGAAACTGAAGATGCAAAACTTGACTTTCTAAACAAAACTTTGACCAAATAAAATTATGATCATGTTCCATTTCGTGCTGTTCAGGCTATGAATAGTTCTTGTCCCTGGTATAATAATAAAGTCAGCTCCACTATAAAAGTTCGAAATAAATTACATGCAAAATGGAGACGAAACAATACTGACTTTGCTTGGTCACAGTACAAAATAGCACGAAACAAAGCTACTGCCATTATAAGACGTGCGAAACGAATGTTCTGTAACTCTAAATTGAACCCGTCCCTACCATCAAAAGACTTGTGGCGCAATCTAAAAAACTTAAATGTGCACGGATAACTTAAGTCTGAATGTTAAATTGACCCTAACGTACTGAATGATTATTTCACTAGCGCCAGTAAGAGCAGTAATAGTCCTCCAGCTCAAAACTTTACTAACAATTGTATCTTTAAAGAAAATTTTTAAATTGGCGGAGTTACTGAGGCAGAAGTTTTGAAGTCTGTTACCTATAGTCCAATGCTATTGGTGACGATGGCATATCTTTG